ATATGGATTAATAAAATGAATATATAATGATCTATTTGGGATTGATGATATGATATAATATGGACTGATATGATATAATGAATAGTGATATAAAGGTATTGGCTCAAACTGCCCTTAGTTTAGAGTAAGTTTTGCCCTTTACCTTAGCGGGGTTGGTGCCGGCGGCTTCCCCGCGGGTTTTCAATTGCCATCGCGTCCTTGCCTGGCTTTTTGACTACCTTGAGGTGTCCGGCTTGTGGTTTCGGGTCATCCTTTAAACCCGTTGACATGTCTTCCTTTTCCCATCTGCATTAGCTGTCGTGTTTATCTGACCTCTTGCATTTGCGGAACAATTCAATTTCATCAATTTCATTTTACTGGCACTGCAGGGGCCGACTACTGATATTGTGCTTGGTGATTTTCCCAAGCTCTCTTTACAGTGGGAAGACTGCAGTTTTCCGTGGAATTTGGGTTACAATTTTCATTTGTTTTATTTCGGTGTCCGCATTAGCTGTCATTGACCTCTTGCACTCACTGGTTTACAATTTCAGATTCAATACATTTACTGGCACTGCGGGGGCCGACCACCGGTTTAGTGTACATTGAATTTCTGTGCACTTTGGGTTGGAGGCTGCTTGTTTCAGTATTTCATTTGCTTTGATCATAAGGTTCGTGGATGTGCTCTTTCTTACTCCTGTTCCTCATTTTGGTCATTACATTTTCTCATTTTCAAGATTTCGCTCACGCAGCAGACTGGCACTTGGAGGCGAAGAGACCGGCGGCAGAGAGCGTCGGCAAGGCGACAGTGGTACTCGCACAAAACCGGCAAAATTTCTTTGACATTGGGGTCATTGATACGTGTCCGGAACATTTTCTCCAAGCACCACTCCAGAGATTCGGCGTTTCTGAACAGGATCTCTTGCCAAATCCAAGAAAAAATGTCAGCGGAAGAAGCATACCCGTGGGTCTGTCCGTGTGGCAGACTCAACAAGAAGAGTGCCAACCAGTGTGCCCTTTGCTGGGGCCACTGGTCCAAAGGCACAAAGCACGATGTGACTCCAAAGGTGGAGTCCTATGGAGCCAATGCTCAATGGGACAGATGGGATGGTTGGAATCAAGATTGGGGAGGATGGGAGAAAGACTGGGACGACACGGAAAGTGTTGGTCATTCCTCAACCTCTTCAAGAGGACGTCAGGTGCATCAGACAGAATATTCCCCAAGGGGTCGGCACAAGGGGAAAGGAAAGGTCAAAGGCAAAGGCAAAAGCAAATCGAAGAGCGAGCAAACCGCCAGTCCCTTCGGTGCGGGAAAAGGTGGGCCCGCGCCATTGCCTGCCTGGCCCTCTTGGACCAATCCAGAGGTGAGTGCATCGCCTTTTCAAAATGCCCAATCCAGCAAAAGCAGCACCATGCAGGAGATGGCGGTACATCTGCGAGCGGCGTACAAAGACTCGGAAGCCCCGGCAGATGTCCAAGCTTTTCTGGACAAAGCAGACAAGGAGTACAGCCGCAACAATATCAAATCTCTGCAGGCTGCAACGAAGAATCTCGATCATGCTCAGAAAGCCCTCAGAGACGCGGTCAATGCAAAGAAAGACCATCGTCTCCAATGGACAAAACACGTGGGCGAAGGCATCAAGATATGGGAGGCACAGCTGGAAAGTTACAGAGTCCATCAGGCGACCCTCTCAGAACATGCCGCAAGAGCACGATCAGAAATAGAGACTTCGAGGAGGATCTTGAAGGAAGTCAGCGAGAACTCAGTCAAGGAAGGGCACCTTGCCATCCCACAGCCTATCCAGGAAGAGACGGAGGATGCGACCACAGACACTGTGGTGGATGTGGAAGAGCAGAAATTACGAGATCATCTCCAAGGGGTCCTCAATGCATGTGCAGGATCACTTGGACTCCAGGTTGCCTCGACGGAGCAACAGGTGCAAGAGGTATCAGACGACGACAAGGAGCAGGGTCCGCACAACAAGCGACCACGTTCTGTCGAACCAGCGAAGACTGGCACAGCAGGTCACAAACAGTGACATGCGGCCGTGAACATGCAGTTTATTCAAATGATGTTCACGAGGCCAGACCGCATATGTTTCCAACTTGCCATTCGGTGACAGGGGAAAGGACCTATTTGAGTCCGTTGGCTGCCGTTTGGGATGCTTGGAAGCTTCGAGGAGAAGTGATTTCTCACAGTTTTGATGATTGTCATGACTACACCAGTCGGCATCCAAAGGTTTTTCAATCTCAGACTGCTTCAGTCAGGTCAGTTCTTCGCATTTCTCAGGAACCTCAGAATGTTCGTCGTTTGAAACGTGTTCATTTTGATGATTGTATTGAAGTTGCGATGTGTATGGACACTGAATGCAGGTTGTACAGCACTTTTGTTAAGCTTGATGCTTTGTACGAGTGGTCAGACAAGCCTTGGTACTATTTTCCAACACCTCCTAGTCGTCGTTTCTCTTGGAGAAAGCTCACAGATCTCAAGTACCCATTTTGCATATTTGAAGAAAAACATTCCAGTGCCGACAGTAGCAATGTGGTAAGTGCAAGCCTTCTGCGTTGTCACAGATCCAACAGCACGAACTCCGCTGAGGAAGGTGTTTGTACCGATAGTGGAAGTTTTGATGTGCTTTCTGATATTACCAATACATGCTCCAATGCTAGAAAACCACTTCAAAGTTTGCTTGATGCTCCTATGTCACTTTCGTCAGTGTTGAGCACGCAAAAAAGATGTGGTTCACAGCAACTCGTTCGATTGATCAAGCCTGATTTCATTTCCATGGATCTAAATCAGGACAAAGAAAACCAGGACGTGATGTCGGCTGTACAGATTGGCCAGCCTTCTCCACACAATTTCAAAAATTCGCCTATGGACTTGCAGCAAGCTTTCCAGATGCAGGCCTTCCACGAAGGTCATGTGCAACATGAGGATGGCAATGATGAGATCTTTGGCGAAGGAGTGGAGGATTCAGACGGTTATTCTCCTGGTGACACCTCAGGACCTTCTGACGGGCAGTCTCCAATCCCTGCAGGAGACAGACAGGATGTCATTCTTTATCATCTTGATGACAATCCAATTCGAGCTTTTATCAATTGGAACAGTTACGAGGAGATGATTACAGAGATGGCTCATCACTATGGTCTGCGAAGGGAAGATGTGGAAGACGCCTATGAGGTGACGGTCTCGCCGCCAGACATTGGCAATGAAGTTGTTCCAACGATTGTGCATGCATTCGGTGACATTCCGCCTGAGAGCACCGACAGGCTGGTTTTGATCGATATTGAGTATCATGCCCACAGGATAGAACATAACTTCAGGAGTGGTCCACAAGTTCAACGATGTGTGAGGTCCATTCCTCTGACAGCATCAAGAAATGAGGTACTGTACAGGGTCAATGTTGACAGGTACTGCAGGTCAGAAGGCGGAAGATGCTTAGTTTTCATCAATTCAAGAAGATGGCCAGATTACGATCTTGACAGAAAGGTCATTGCGCATGGTGACTACATCAGGATTGCTCTGCCTCCCTCAGAGAGATTTGCATGTCCAACTGTTGAGATAACTCACATGACTCAGCATGGCTTTACAGACCAACAAATTCTAGATGAGATTTACAACGATGACGCAGCATCAGGTTTTTCTCCGAGCTTGTTGGGCGAGGAAGATGTGCGTGGCTTGGCCCGAGATCGCCTTGTTGAGGCTGATGAGGCTACCATGATGCAAACACATCCTCTGGAAGGTAGCGATGCAGAGCATCCAGATGAAGCCAGGCTTTCTCAGAGCTCAGACTCTGACAATGCAGTTCAGGATTGGTTTGTGGACTTGCAAAGGATTGTTGAGGTGTACTTTCAGCAATGTGATGAAGCGTTGCAAAACGATTTTATGTTCTCGGTTTACACCTGGTTCATCGACCAGGAAACTTCCAAGCTATGTCGTGAACCCAAGATTGCAATACTTGGGGACGACCCCCTGGAATGGAAAGATGACCTTATGTTACTGTGGCAATATCATTTGGTCCCCGGGAACTCTGTGCTCATTGATTTGGTGCAACCGTTTGCTCAAAGATCACGGCTAGAAGAACACATTGCACACATTATCCTCACGCAAAGACCTGTAAATTTGAATTCAGTCCTCTTTTCCATGGAATTTGTCGATGAGGTTCAGCCCAATGTTGTGGTGACATTTGCAGCAGCTGTTCCTCATGTCTGCAGTGCACGCGACCTTGCAGATCATATCCCTCTATTCGATGCATTTTTCTTGAACAATCGAAACTGGGTTTATCCTGAGGTCAACAATGATGAGCAGACGATTGCAACTAAATTTGGACTTGGAATCAAAGTGCAGATTTTTGCCGATGCACGTGATGATGCAGAGGAAATGTCTGACAACAGTATTCTGGTTCAAAAATTCTCTTCTGCCCTCTCTGCCAATGGTGGCTCCTCCTCCTCCGGTATGGAAGGACAAGATGATCATGGTGGTTTGAAGACTATTGGAAAGGACTGTCAAGTACCGATCTTTGTGAATTTCAGCTTGACTGAGGAGTTCATCAGGTATATTCAAGCAGTTGGAGCACAAGCTGTGCCAGCTGATGTGCCCCCTATACTACCCGAAGGCATGAGTGAGCAGCCGACGTGGGTCCAAGATTTGTGGGAAAAATGGGTTGAGACAATTGCCCAGAATGGAGCTGACCCTCAATCTGGCCCTCGTCTTGAAACATGGTTTACAAATCCAAGGAGATGGACACGATGTGACCATTCAAGAGTTGTCGTGCTGTCTACCAATTTTCATCAATGGGAACGAGAATTGCTTAATGTGTGGTATGATAGAGCCGAACAGGCTCTGCCAACGCAGTTTGCGATCGTTTTTCCAACTCCTGATGACATTGATCGAACAGTACAAGAACAAATTGTCATAGAACAGCAATCGGAGCCATTCTCCAGGACTGTGGTGGTCACGGTTTGTGACACACATAGAAGCAATGGACGTCATGGGTCTATCGCTCTGGTGGTTTCTGATCAGCTGCACATTCGCTCATTGATTACCCTCCTGGGATATGCTGAAGTTTGCCCGCCTGAACGTGAGGACAATGAATGTTTACTCTGGATGGGAAACATTGCAATCAGGCCTGATCAAACACTGCATGTCCGCACAGGTAATGCTCTCAGGTTTCTAGTCCGGAGAGGCATTCGTGTTAGTATTCCTGAGTTGCTTTCCATGTCAGATCTGCAGTTGCGTCAGGAGTTGCGAGCCGCAATTGGAGGGGCGGTGTTTCGTAGGCCTAATGTTGTAGGATTTCCAGCAGATCCGCATTCGGCAAACAATCCCGTCTCGGCCTCTAACCCAGCCAGCTCACGAGATGACGAGCATCCACCGGATTGGTTTAATCAGTTGCAGGAAGTGTTTGACAGAAGTGCGTTTGTTGAACACTCTGAAGAAGGGCCTGTGCTGTATGTCTTAGTTTGGTTTGTGCAAGGTTCTCACATCCATACTAACGATAATCCAAGGGTTGTTCGCATTGACGCTGACAGTCAGTGGTGGCGGAGTGAACTCATCTTCCCATGGAGAGATCAGGTTGCTAGAGCCGAGCCTATTGACCTGCACTTTGTAGATCCAATGCCACCGTCACACCCATGGCAGTCCCATGCTGCACATATCATTATCACACAAGCCTTGCCCGAGGAGCACGTAGGGGTGTTGGCCACTGTTGTTGTGCATGGTAATCCGAATTGTCCTGTTTCCCAGACTGCGCTGATTGTTCACAGTTTTTCAGGCGTAAGAGATTTTGTCAACAGAGTCGGAAACCTTGGTTCTTCAGGTTCAGTTGTCCGTGTCAGACGTGGAAGGCTAGCTTTTCCTCCGGAACACACAGTGCGTGTAGGGTCTGGTGATGGAATTGTGATTGAAGTGCCTCCGACTGCACCGTCTTCAGATGTCGCTTCTGATACGCAGATGATTAGTTTTCAGGCAGACAGTGACGCGTTGGAACATCCTGGGTCATATGAAGAGACATTAGGCAGTACGGAGGTTGTGCATGATGAGGATGAAGGTGATTCGACTCTCTTGTTGCAATGTCTCAAGATGGTAGAGAGCAATATCGATAGCTGTGATTCTGATGGCGATGTTGGAAAAGGATCAGATCAACAGGCAACTCTGAGGAATCATGAAGCCAGTGATGTAGCAAGCACAAGTCATGTTGACGTGAGCAAAAGCAGTGATTCATCAGTGAAGTGGATTAGTGATACATGCCCAGACTTGGACGCATCCTACCTCTTCAGAAAGATTGCTGCTGCGAATGAGGATGCACTTGGAATCGGTGCCGATTCTCAGCAAGAGAACGATCTATTTGCATTCAACCCCAATGCGCGGGAATTTCAGCCCCAAGGTGCTGCCTTGCCTGAATGGGCTCAAGTGCTGGAAGACATCTACCATGTTTGGGATGTGCACGCGGCTACATGGCAAGGTGAGTCAAGATCTGCTCATTTCATGACATGGTATTTGGCGCCCAACACTGGTCAAATGCAATGCCTTTATGGAAGGAAAATTGTGTTTTTCGTTGATTTTTGGAATTGGAGAGAACAGCTACGAAGAAAGTGGGTGGATGTAATCGATCCAGGGGTTGATTTCCAACTTGTGCTGGTATCTCCATCTCCTACTCAAATGGAGGCAGGCATATCGGGACATATTATCATCATTCAACACAATTCACCTGAATGGTCCCCCTTCATTCTGTCGACATTTGACCCCGCTGTCAATGGAGGTCACCCATTTCACATGGCTCTTTCGTTTCATGAACAGCTGCTTTTCCAAGAGGTTCTCGACAGGGTTGGTTATACAATTGAGTGTATGTACCATGCTCAATGTGCTTTTCGCCTTCGATCACAGATGTTTGGGCTGGTTGACCGTGTCCGAGTCAGTGACGGTGATGCTATTGACTTGATTGTCAATCGCCAGTTTGTGCCTCAGAATTGGAACCCTCCTTTCATTCCTCATGCTCCGGGGGCTGAAGGGCTGGCATTGCTGCAGAAGCAAGCGAAGGTCATTAGACATCGAAACACAGATGATTTGGAGACATTCGATATCCATGGCTCGCAACCCCGCACAATTTCCATTCACGATGCATTGGGAAGCGATGATGAGGATGTCGAAGGCATGCCCTTCACACTCGCTGTGCTTATCAATCAACAGCAAGCACAGCAGAAGGATCTGGCAATATGTGTGTGGGAAATGCATGATGGCAGTGATCATTTTGAGATGCATCCAAGAGGACGATTTGATGCTGGAAAGGTTAGTCAGTCATTTCGTGAGAAGCACAATTTGATCCAAAAATGTTCCGAGCTGTATTGCGTGAATTTCACAAGAAAATCATGGCATTTTACACCTAATTGCTGGTATATTGGATCCACGACGCCAGTTATGACCGGCAAGGCGCTTGTTGCCTGCGTGATTTATCACAAGGGTTGTGCCTCCGTCAGGGTTCTCACTTTGCCTCAGAATGTTAGGACAGACCTGCTTAGAGATGTTCTTAACATTGTCCATGGTACTTTCGTCAGGGTCAATGGTGTCATCCAAGGTGTTGTCGTTGCTCTGAGGAATGGAGATGTCCTTGAATACCATAGTGCCGAGTTTAAAGCTGGTTTTCTCCTTGACAAGAGCTCTACCAAAGTGCAAATATGTCTCGATGCGACAATCACCTCTCACAGGCCTGTGTTTGACGATGATGGTGATGCATTTGAGGTGTTGCCATTTCCAAATGTGCGTCAGTCCCTGTCACATGGAGATGATTGGAGCTTCTGCATGATTCCTGAAGGGACGGATTTGCACAAGGAAACGTTTGAGGCGCTCCATCTCCAGCAAGAAGTCTATGAGGGCTCCATTTTGGCCCATGAGCTCTATGTGGACGGGGCTACGTGCGGAGACTGGTCGGCATGGGCTGTCATCGCAGTAGCGGTTACAGAAAAAGGTCGATTTTTCAAGGGTTGCCTTGGAGATGTCACAGAAACTGAGAGGCATTCCCCAAAGTGGATCGGAGCCATAGGACATTCAAATGTCGATGCGGAGTTATCAGCAATGGCAGTGGCTTCAGCATTCGCGTCCTTTGGCTCAGCTGACACATATTTCGTCATTAGGCCGGACTTGGCATTAAGCAAACGGTTCCTTGACATTGATTCAACCAGCAGACAGGCCAGCACTCTAGCAAGGGTTGTACATGTCTTGGGCCAGTCAAAGCCAGACAATGTCCAGGTAACGGAAGTCAGAGCCCACTGCGGAGACCCGTGGAATGAATTAGCTGATGCAGTTGCAAAATGGGTTGCCAAGAGAAAGATTGCTGTTGGGTCCACGGATTGGAAGATTTTGCATCAAATTGCTGAAACACCGTCGACTCAAAAATGGGAATGGCTTCGTTGGCAAAATGCAGCGTTTGCTAAGACGATGCCAAAGCTCCATGGAGATGCAGTTTGGCAGCCGACAGCTTCGTCAAAAAAGATTGGGGCCAGCGTTGCATCATTGCAACAATGTCCCAATACCAAGCAATTTTCTCTGAGTGTAGCCACGTACAAGGGCTTGGCCCTGGATGAAAATGAGGTATCATCAGTTACCACGGGCGCACGCTCCCTGAGGCTTGATTCGCAGTTTCATGGGCGACAGATTGCCGTCATTGGGATCCAGGAATCACGCACTGCAGCAGGAATCCGATGCACAGATCATTACAAGATCTTCTCCTCTGGCTATCAGCAGTGTGGACGTTCCAAGCATTTTGGATGCGAGCTGTGGGTCAACAAGTTTCTCCCGATTGCACGAAAAGATGATGGGAGTCCGATCAGGCTATGTGACTGCAAGGTGACAATACTGTCGGCAGATCCCAGATTGTTGGTTGCGCAACTTGAAGGTCCCATCCAAATACGCCTCATTGTAGCTCATGCACCGTGTGTTTCTGCCGAACGACCGTTTGAGCAGGTCAAAAATTGGTGGCATGAACTTACAGGAAAGATAGCAATCATGAGAGAGATGAACGTGGTCATGCTTATTGATGCAAATGCACCCCTGGCGGAGCATGAAACCCTCTTTTTTGGTATGCACCACCATGAAGACATGAACCCACAGGGTTATGAATTCCAAGAGTTCTTGATTGCAAATGAGCTATACGTGCCCTCGACGTTTGCAGGTCATGTGGGGCCCTCTGCCACCTGGCATCACCCAAGAGGAGGTCAGCTGCGCAGAGATTACGTTCTGCTCAGCAAGTCAATGTATACTATGTGCGTGAAATCCCAGATCTGGAGGGACTTCGATGGAGGGTTTGGCCATCTTGATCACTGTCCAGCAATATGTCATTTGGAAGGAGTTTTGCTTTTTCAGTCGCAATTGAGGAAACTCAAATGGGACTATGACAAGCTTCACGACCCAGCTGCACAGAAAGAGTTTGCGGAAGCCCTCAAGACACTGCCATTGCCTTCATGGGAAGTCTCTGTTGACGATCACTCTACCATATTGGAATCGAATATTTTGCAGCTTGCCACACAACACTTTGGATCCTCCAAACGTGAGCGGGTCCGACCTACATTGAGTGGAAGTACGATTGCTGGTATTCAGTTGAAGCGACAGGCTCTGGACATGGCCAGGTCGCAAGGTTTCCAGGATGAGAGCCTTGTCGCCGAGCTCAAGTGTCTAGAAAAAGTGGTGAGGTCAATGGTATTGGCTGATCAGAAAAAGTGGTACGCTGACTGGCTGGACTCAATCAACGATGACTGGGCTCAACATGATGTTGCTCTGGTCTATAAGAAACTGCAACGCTTGGGACGTAGGAAAAAGGACTTGAGCAAAGGCCCCAGACCTTTACCTAGGTTGAAAACTTCTGAACAGGGTTTTGCCACCACCTTTGAGGAGTGTCAGCAAGTCTGGAAAAAGCAATTTGCAGTTATTGAGGCCGGTATTGATGCGACAGAGTTGCAGTTGGCACAGTTGCATGAGGGTGGGCACTTTGATGCTCGACCCGACCCTATTAGCTGCCCAGATCCTTGCCAGATCTTGGCTCTGATTCGCAAGTTCAAGAATGGAAAAGTACCAGGACCGGGACTGCTCCCGGTTGATGTAATCAAAAGTGGGGGTTATGAGATGGCCCAAATCCTTACACCTCTTCTCACAAAGGCTGTTTGGCATATGAGGGAGCCACTCAGCTGGAAGGGTGGTCTCCTTGTACCATTGTTCAAGGGCAAGGGATCGCCAGCAGTGCCCTCTGCATACAGGTCTATCTTCCTCTCTGACATCTGCGCCAAGATTCACCATGGGGATGTGAGACAAAGGTTAGCAGAGGTCTGGAACAAAGATGCGTCGCTGATTCAGCTTGGGGGCAGAAAAGGGTGTTCTACGGATGTCGCTCATCATCTGTTGCACGCACACCTGGCTTGGGCACGGGCAGCAAACATTTCATGTGCAATTTTGTTTGTTGACCTTCAATCAGCGTTTTATTCTGTCTTGCGGTCCTCTTTCTTTCAAGGTGAATTCCATGATGATGCAATCTGCTATGCAATGAAGCAGTTGGGGATTACTCCAGATGAGTGGCAGGAGATCAGATCAGCAGTTGCCTCTGATGATGCAACAAAGGGTCTGGGACCGCATCAGGTTGGAATTCTGAAAGACATGTTTTCAGCCACACACTTCTCAATGCAGGGGCTTGAGGGACGCACGGCTACAATGCGTGGAACGAGACCAGGTGACCCTGTGGCAGATATCCTGTTCAACATGGTTTTCAGGTTGGTTGTACTGGATGCCAGGACCAAGATTGAGGCATCCACACAAATGAGTTGCTTTGGTTCACCCAAACAAGCTGTTGATGTCTCAGAGCAGTCACCGGTCCCAGAGCGAGGCTTTGCAGAGGTGACATTTGTGGATGACATTGCTTATGCACTGCACTCGGCATCACCTGATGATGTGATTAGCTCCCTACAACTGGTTGCTTCTCGCCTACATGATTCAGCGGCTTCTCGTGGTCTCACAATCAACTATAGTGTTGGCAAAACTGAAGCTCTTATCAAGTTGGCAGGACCGGGGTCAAGGTCCACGAGGCACAAGATGTGGCACACGCATGGAGGTAAATTGCCAATAGTTACTGAACATGGTGTCCACTCTCTCCAGTTAGTGCACTCATATAAGCACCTTGGGTCGTACATGCAGGATCATGCGGTAGTCCAGAAAGACATTTGTTACCGCACTGCCCAGGCCCGGAAAGCCTTTGGCCAGCTGCATAGGCAGTTTTATGGGAAGAGAAATGTTCATGACCGTACCAAGAGTGTAGTGTTTGCAGCGCTGGTGATGTCACGCCACACCTACAATGCACACACGTGGGCGTGGGTGACGGAGAAGGACATAGCTCATTGGGAGAATGGCATTAGATCGCAGGTAGCAGCTCTTGCCAAGAATACCCTTCGTTCTGTTCCTTCATTTCACTTTTCCACGTCTGAAATATGTGCGTTGATTGGACTCAACGGGCCAAAAGAACTGCTGCATGCCAACCGATTGAGATATGTGAAAAGAGCCATTCAATCTGCGCCTGCGGCACTCTGGGCACTTTTACATGCCAACAATCATGAAAATTCCTGGCTGGTATGGCTGAAGAATTCATTTTGCTGGCTACGTGAACATTTGCCCCGTACAGTGCTTCCTGAGTTTTGTGATGTAGGTGAAATGCTCACGTTCATCGCTATTGATGAGAAATGGAAAGGAAAAGTCAAAGCAGCGCTCAAGTCATGTTTGCGTGTTACGGCTGCAAATGCTGAAGGCAAGTTGTGGACCTACAGAATGCAGACACGTGTTTCTCAATTTGCCAAGTTGCCGGACATCCGTCCACCTGCAGATGAGGGTCAATGGAAATGCAACCTTTGCGCGGCCAGCTTTGGCTCCAAAAAGGCCCTGGCAGTACATGCCAGGCACAAACATCAGTACAGAACCATGCTAAAGTACTATGTCCTAGGGGATGAGTGCCTGGCATGCGGAAAGAAGTTTTTCAGTCGGGTTCGGCTACTGGCGCATGTTGGAGCTTCACAGACTTGCAAAGATGCGTATTATGCTTGTTTTGTGCCGGCTGCGGAGGAGGTAGTTGAAAAGATTGAAGATGATGAAAGAGAACAAGCAAGGGCCCTCCGTGCCCAAGGATGGAAGGCCTCCAAGGCATTTCTCCCAGTTACGCGCATCAGTGGACCTCTCCTTCCCGGAAGTGGAACGGAGGGTGCAGCCAGCATGAAAGCGCGCTGGAGCGTGAGAGTTTCAGAAACTGGTCGAGCGTTCTATGGCTTGGATGGTTATTGTGAGCAACCGCTGGAGCCTTCGAACCAAGGCGCCGAAATTTTGCCGTTCCTCCTCCAGACAAATGGGGGAAAAGTGTCAGGTGAGGCGAGGATTTATGAGCAGTTTGGCTTAGCGGCAGAAGCTGCCAAGCTGCATATCACTTGTTTCATTTTTGTGCACTTTTTCAGCGGGTACAGGAGGAAAGGCGATTTGCAACACTGCATTGAAAGTCATGAGATCGTAGGCACTCAACAGATCTTCTGTATATCAGTTGACCTATGTTTGGCGAAACAGTTCTCAGACCTTACTGATGCAGACACGAAGGAGTTTTGGATCAAGAAAATGCGACAAGGGCAAATTCTGGGAGTTGGCGGCGGACCAAGCTGCGAAACTTGGTCAGCAGCACGCCATATGCCGGATGGGCCATCTCCGTTGAGATCCTATGACTCCCCGTGGGGAATAGCAGGGCTCACGCGAAAGCAATGGGATCAAGTATATACTGGCACGAAGTTGATCCAGTTCTTGATCGACCTCTTGGTGATTGCGTCACAACTTGGACTATGTGGCTTCTTCGAGCATCCACAATTTCCAGTTTGGTTGATGAAGATCAGACCGGCATCAGTTTGGACGCTGCAAGCAATGAGAACGCTGGCTCGGTTGGAATGTGTGCAGATATGTTCCTTCGATCAGTGCGTATATGGATTGGACGCTACCAAGCCGACAACCTTGTTGCTGCTGAGACTTTCCACTTTCAAGGATGTGACCTTCACCAGGGGACTCAGAGGACGTTGCCCACATAGGCATCAGCATGTGCCTTTGCAAGGAATTCGTCAGGATGGCTCTTTTTCTACGGCCCGTGCCAAAGTGTATCCAGAGGCAATGAATCGAGCCATCGCAGTTGCCATTTCCTGGTTTTTGACTGAGAGACAACTCAGCAGTAGTTTGTCCATGTTACCAATGGATTTGCAACAGTTAAATTCGACCGAATTCACCGATGAATCCATTGTGCAGCCGGATTACCATCGCTGAATGCTTGCAAGTGCCAAGCGTTGAATGACGCAGCATCCGCAAAGTGACAAAGAATAGTGATATATTCATATATATATATATATATATTTATATTTATAATGTTCATGGTAATTCTCTAGTTCGCAATCTCTTAGTCAAAACCGGGTAGAAAAAGTTCATGAAACACGGGGCAGGAGATGCAGCCCGCCTCACGAGTTCTGGGCGTATCTAAGGGTTTCTGTTGATCAGCTTTGAACCTGAGCTGTTGGACACCAACGAGTCCAACGAGTTGCCCCTGGATTGGGTCGGAGATGGTCGGAGACACGGAAAAACTCCCAGCTGCTTTTCGGGTGACGAATTGGCTCGAAGTGAAAACAAGAAGATCAGTTGATGTGAAAAATGGAAGTTCGGGGTGTAACTCCACGTCTAGGTGGAAAAAATACTGTAGGGGTGTTTCGATCTTGTATTCAAAGAAATTGGGGGTCATCCAACTATCTCAGGGGGTTGGCCTCCCAGTTCAAAATCGCACACCCTTTTTGAAACAAGGACAAACGCAAATGTCCGGTCCAACTACATCCAGCCTTCCTAGTGACATCTCCAGCCCATTTCTTGTAGGTTTCCCCCCCCTCAGCACATGTCGTCCAGCACGTTTTACGCAACGCCAAAGGCACTGCCTCTCTTGTTTGTTCCCTTCGGCCACAGCCAACTCCTGAAGAACACACAAAAAAATCAAAAATATACACCCTCTGGTAATAGAAACGTAGCTATGGAAAATCACCACCTTTCATAGGTAAATCATCATAAATCATCTATATTTTTGGGCCAATGTTCATAGCTATGTTAAATAACCAGGGCGTAGAAAAAAACAACTGAGGTCTTCAAAAGATCCAATGCCTTTGGGTGTCCAAATCAATGTATCAAAGATTATTGCAATCATTGTTGTTTAAATGATCTGAGGTTTGTTTTATGTTATTTTATGATGTTTTATCATGTTTTATGATGTGTTATGATGTGTTATTATGTTTTATGATGTTTTATGATGTGCGATGATGTGCTATGTTGTTTTATAATGTTTTCTGATGTACTTTGATGTTTTATGTTGTTAGTTTTATGATGTTTTATGATGTTTCATGATGTTTTATGATGTGTTATGTTGTTTTATGATGTTTTATGATGTGTTATGATGTTTTATGCTGTTTTATCATGCTCTATGATGTGTTATGATGGTTTATGATGTTTTATGATGTGCTATCATGTGTTATGTTGTTTTATGATGTTTTTATCATGTTTTATCATGTTTTATGATGTTTGATGATGTTTCATGATAGTTTATGATCTGTTATGATGTGTTATGTTATTTTATGGTGTTTTATCATGTTTTATCAGGTTTGTGATGTTTGATGATGTTTCATGATGTTTTATGGTGTTCTATGATGTGTTATGTTGTTTTATGATGTTTTATCATGGTTCATCATGTTTTATGATGTGCTATGATGCGTTATGTTGTTTTATGATGTTTTATCATGTGTTATGATGTTCTATGATGTTTTATGATGTTTTATGATGTTTTATTATGTTTTATGTTGTTTTGTGATGTTTTATGATGTTTTATAACGGTTTATGCTGTTTTATGATGTTTTATGTTTTTGTTTAACAATGTGTTATGCTGTTTTATGATGATTTATGCTGTTTTATGATGTCTTATGTTGTGTTATAATGTTTTATGTTGGTTTATGTTGTTTTATGCTGGTTTATGCTGTTTTATGCTGTTTTATGATGTTTTATGATGTTTTATGATGTGTTATAATGGTTTATGATGCTTTATGATGTTTTATGATGTTTTATGAACCAATTGGTCTTCTGGTTTCTCAAACGTGGGAAATATCACAAGATCTCATATTTTATTATCATGTTCGAGATATGTTGTTTGACCATGTTTGCCATGTTTGCCATGTAAACTTAACATCAACAAACTTGGGAAATATCACTAACATCATCATCTTTAACATGTTCCTGACCATGTTTGCCATGTTTGCCATGTTTGCCATGTTTGCCATGTTTGCCATGTTTGCCTAACTGTTGCGGACTTTGCCAGCACTAAAACATGGTATGGAAGTGACGGGAGAACTGAACATAGGGCCCCCAAGCCTCTAACGGGTGTCACAAACATCAACGATCATACTTTCTTTCCAAAGTAACCCTCTACAGTTTCCAGGGTCATGTACGGATGTTTTTGTTTGTCTTAATATGTATTGTAGTTGCAGCGAAACTTGCTAGTTTAGCATCGTTTTCAACCAAAAAATGACCATTTGGCGAAGATACCCATTTCTACACCCATATCAGGCATCTCTGCACCTTGCCAGTCTCCGCCATGGTGAAACTTGCAAAAGGTGGAGCTAAGACATCCACGTCTCTCAATCCTTTGATGACTTGTCTTTCAAGACTCAAAAACTGACTTTGGTCTTTTTAGGTCATCACTTGTTCGTCAGCTTGACTTTGTGTGGAAATCTGAAGTTGGCACAGTTGTGGAATCTGCATAAGAACACACTTGCGAGACATCAACAGAAACTCTATGTTTTGATGCCGTTTGGGGGGCAACCTGCTCGCGTGATTTGCGCACTGCCCCCCAAAGGCAATGGAGCCGAAACCTGAAGGTACCCATGCGGAACGCAGTTGACCGATGTGAATCAAGTCTCACGGGATTCTTCATGGACATCAATGGACTGGTTGGTGGTGCAATAACCATCTTGAAAAATATGAGTTCGTCAATGGGAAGGATGACATCCCATATATCATGGAAAAATAATCCAGTCATGTTCCAAACCACCAACCAGATGGAAGTTGATGGAGGTGTACCCAACCACGGGGATATCATGGGGATATATTTTTTCGAGGATACAATAAGATGGAATAGGAATGAATAGGATATATCTAAGCCAAACTATGAAATTTTGCTGTGTCTGAGGGGTGTTTACCCATCAAATGCCAGTTCTTCATGTGGAATCCAAAAAGGTGGATGGCTCTGAAAAAAGTTGAAATCTTCCCCTTTTTTTATTCCCCAAATGGAAAATGTCCCGATTTTTGTAGAAACAACCCCCAAGCCCAACCACTTCCTCACTCTTGCTACTTATTGATCTCGGCGGACTTATTGGTTCATTTTGTGATGTCAAACAGCTTCAAAATATCTCCAAACTGCTCCCCGAATGTGCGCCACCAGCTTATTTGGTTGGGTAGCTGTGGCTCAGATATAGGAATTACGGTATGAACCACCAACAAAATTCGTCACGTTCAGCATGTACCAATCACATTTCTTGGGTTAGTCATGTTGAGCCATAGGGTGTGACTGAAATTGGGGTCCGCCGGTATACCTCAAACATCGTGATTCTAATTAAGGAAAAAAAACAGTTTAAATAAGAAAAACTATTCTAGTGTTTTCCCAATACCTTCAGACAAACCCATCCCCAAGTCATATTTGCTCGCAACACCCCAGATACAAGGGTTGAAAATTGATGGATACAGGAGGTTATATATGATTGTCATTCTTTCCTATCATTTAACTATAGTGGCTTGGAGCAACGCTGGTTAGAATGGGGAATTATGGTATATTCTGGGAATATGGCAAAAGTGTACGAACAAACTGGTTTCAAAGATGATATTTGCCTATATGTGCCATGGTCAAAAAATGGATCAAAAAGCACCCATATTGGGGGGATGGTCGGGATGGTCATCAATCCATGTTCATCTGGGAAGTGTAGTTCCAGCTATCAGTGGCCAGTTGTAAGTGGATAGGGGTTGTATCCCAACTTATGGATACTTGTGGCACTGTGGGGGTTTAGTTCACCACGGTACCCATGTTTTTCACCTCAACTGCACCCCTTCAAAGTAGGGATTTAAACATCCATTGTATCTCCTGACATCCCCATTTACTGTAATATCCCCATTTCATCCCCCAAGATGGTGGAGTAAATATTTCTTTTAAAAAAAAAACATCCCCCGTTCATATTCAACACCCCCAAACGAACCCATGGTGGATGTAGGGAATGAAACCACATCATTGGGACCATTAAAATCATCAAAGGGGTGATTGATATAAACGGGGGATGGGATTATGATTCCAACTGAAGCCGCACCGTGGCTTTCCATTTTTTATACCCACAGTCGAAGAGTTGCTGGAGTGCTGCGGCACCTGAGTGATGCGGCGGGTGAGACCGCGGTTTCGGGCTTTCGCCATGTATGGAAATCTGGGATCAAGGGGGAATATAAAATATCATTATGGAAATTCATATGGAAATATTATGAAATATTATATTATTGTGCTATTATGATATTCAATAGATTGGTCTTAGGGAAAATCTTACAGTAACTGGAAACTATGTATTTTACCCGTTTGACACCAAATACGTTCTCGATACTTGGGAATAATACTACGGCAGCACCTGGGACTGTATATTCGGCAGACACACAAAGCATCACGAAATCACTATTTCTGATGAAATATCAGCGGGATCCCGTTCGGACGAATTATTAGGGGCAAATCTCCACGCCAAAAGTCATCCTCGAACTCGCTTTTCCATCCGCAACAAGTAGAATCTCGGCTACGCAAAAGCGAGTTGGTCTTTGACTGCAGAGCTATCGCCGCCAGAGTCTGACCGACCCCATGTAAGAACTGAGTCATCTGCCAAGATCGCTGCAAATGCGCCCTCGGTTGCCTGAATTTGTAGAATCGGGAACTGTTTGTACTGTTATTGTACTTTTTGTCATTGTTTGCCGAATGAAATCATCCAAAAAAATGCCAAACCTAAAACCACAAATCTGCGATATTGGAAATGGTCGTGCAGAAAGCCTCCGGCGCTGAATCCTGTCCATCCCCAGAAAATCAATGAAAACATGTGAAAATCATCTGCGTGTGATGTGATGGGCGTTTCTATTCATCAAATGCCGACAGGCTGAAGTTCCGCTGAAGCCGCTGAAGCACCTTTTGTTGACACGCCACACCGTCCTACAGTACACGACTCACGACAGTGCTTCACCATTGAAAGCGGGAAGAAGGGGGCTCAAGCATTCTAAAGCCATCAGCAGTTGTCATCCCCTGGGACATCGCCCAGGAGTTGCAACGCTGCCACTACATTGCACGTTCTTGAGTCGGTCTTGAACTGAGGAGCTGTCACCACCACAAGCTGCCTTGCCCCAGGTGACCACAGATCTGTCTCCCAGGATGGCAGCAAAGGCACGCTCCGTGGCATGGATTTAATAATGAAGAATAATAATGAAGTTGTCACAGCTGCCGCCCTTGGTACGCGAGCAGCTGGAAAAGTGACCTCAGAGTCCTTAGAATCCCAGGTCCTTGGAACAACAGGTTACATTCCTATGCAGCTTCGTGTGAATCCGTATAACGACATTCAACAACCGTAGCAGCAACTTTAGCAAGATACTTTAAGACACTAGTGTCACCATTAATAGTCGGCCAACCAAACCTAGCCGTGAGGGGGTTTTGAGGCTTAACAGGCCTGTTCTCAAATTGAGGACAAAACCAAGCCATGTGCTCCCAGGTAGCAACAGAGCAAGAGCAAAAAGGGCAACCCAGCTCATTATCTTGTTTCATCTTGGCCAAGGCAGCAGGGGAAACAGTCGCCCCCAAGGCAACATGTCTCTGCCAAGCATTGTCTTTAATGCCAACACGCAAAGCATGGAAATCAATTTCATCAAAAAAGGAAACCATCTGTTCAACGGAATAATCAGACAAGAACTGTCTAGGCTCTCGTCGTTTTTGGCACAACCAGGCACGGAACTGCGCTCACGCCAGGAATTTCTAATGAAGTGAAGGGACTCACCCAAACAGTCAACAGGGGTATCCAAAGAAATGATACCATGTTTAGATTGCCAACCATGAGGGGATCTTTCCGTCCACCCAAGTTTCTGAAGAGACTTGCGAAGCCAAGCAATGGAAGAACCAAAACAACCATTCCAAGTGATCAAGCCAGCGTGGAAAAGCTTAACCGTACGAACCCAGAGGCGTTGTAAGATAACAGCAAGAAGGTAAAACTTAGCCCCATAGACGACCTTACGGAGGACAGGGGGTGCCATACGGGCAGTATTATGAGTGGCCTGGTTAAACAAGGAAAAGAACTTGTCAGCCGTGGCCTGCGTGGGAGGTTGGGCAAGCCAACCATAGTTGAGCACAGAGAGGACGAAAAGTTTGTATGCTTCTAAGGCTCGCTCCCAAGGGAGACCCACACTTCTGAAGAGAACAGCCCTCAAATGAGCTTTGTCAATTCTGTCCTTCTCAACCTGATGGTAAGCACGTTTGCGACTTACAGTTACAGCACCAAGCATGCGCATGTCAGTTTCAATCCAACTTTGAGGCCCCTTGGCCAGTAAATCGAGGTGTTTTTTCCCTTTGGCAATCACTTTGGTCTTTTCAGGACCTTCCTTAAGGCCAACGCTTAAGCTCCAAGCTTCATTCCGTGGCATGGACTTGTCGGACATCCTTCAGTTGACCTTGGACTGCGGAGCAGTCACCACCACAATCTGCCTTGCCCCACGTGACCACAGATCCATCTCCCAAAATGGCGGCAAATGCACCCAAACTGCCCTGAACCTGCTGCACATTCCTGAGTTGATCTTGGACTGTGGAGCTGTTACCACCATGTTCTGGGTCACCCCAAGTATATAACGACTGATCCGTCACTTAGACTTGCAGCAAACGCAAGGCCTCCGAACCAAATCTGCTGCACAGCCCTTAGCTGATCTTGAATCGCAGAACTGTCACCACCGCAACTTGGATTGCCCCAACAAACAACTGATCTGTCTGCCAGAATCGCAGCAAAAGCACCCCAGGCCTGGACCTGCTGCACACTTCTGAGTTGATCCTGTACAGAAGAGCTGTCACTACCATCCTGTGGATCGCCCCATGTAACAAGCGACCCATCTTCAATGATTGCGGCAAATGCGAAAACCGTTCCCTTAACCTGGCATTCAGTCTTGAGCTGCTCTTGGACTGCAGAACTGTCCCCGCCAAAGTCTGGATCGCCCCATGTAACGACAGATCCATCTGACAAGATGGCAGCAAACGCATAATCAGTGCCTTCAACCTGTTGTACATTCTCTAGCTGATCTTGTACTGCAGAGCTGTCACCACCAGCATGTGAACTCCCCCAAGTAACAACTGAACCATCTCCAAGGAGCGCGGCAAATGCGCCACCGGTTGCCTGAATCTGTTGCACGTTCTTGAGCTTGCCTTGAACTGCAGAAGTGTCAGCTCCATAATCAGGACTTCCCCATATGACAATGCTGCTACCTCCACAGCACAAGGCAAAAGCCTTGCCTGCTGCCAATTTTGCTTGTTGTACAATGGCACAACTAGCTGTCCGTTAGCTGAAGACCGGCGGCTTGCAGAGTCAGTTCCTCGTCGTTTCGACTTGCCCAGCGACAAGTTCTCACTTCGACCGCTCGTCAAAGCTACCTTCACTTGAAGCATACTTGATGGCAAAAGTTAGGATAGAGCTGATAAAATCCTATAATACAACAAAAATACATATAGTGTCATATAGTCATATAGTCAATGGCCTATTATGCCCATACATGCATTTCTAAAGTGGAGGTGCACAGGGCGTAAGTTCTGCTTCATCAAAATGGGCTGCTGTTGAGCCATGAGCCAAGCAAAAAGAAGCATAGGAAGTTGAGGTTTCACCCAAGATAGCATGGGTAAAAACACAAAGCTTGGCGATATTAATAGTGGTGATCTCCACCCGTTACTTAGTTGCTAGTTGAGGCACCGATCAATTGAGGAATTTGGTGATGAAACAAGTGGGCTGGGTTTGTAAACTACCTCATTACTGGAAAATTAGAACGACTTACTTTACCACCCTGTTGCAATGGGGGCAGATAAGTGACATCACTTTCACTTTCGGCGCGTCTAAAGGTCAAAGCCTGTGCTGCAAATGCAAACTCTTGAACTATGCACAAAATTCAATAAGTGACATCCAAACAAATGGTTTGTTTCAGACTTGTGAAAATGCTTCAGAATTCTGTTGTATGTGTATCCATTGGTGCTGGGGATGTACAACCCTTTCCAAAAACACCAAAACGAGCCAGGCACCGGGGCGCAGCTCCGCCCAAGCTGCAACGGCCCTTTAAGGGGGCCTGAGATGGCGCTTTCTCGGCTGCTGCGGCAGCTTGTGAGAAGTTCATGGTTACATCTTAGACGAGAATTTCTGTATGATGCTAGCGTGTACTTGGATTATATTTACCAATCAGCTGAGTATGACCCTGTGGCGACTCATTTTTGTCGCGTTAGGTACTATTTTATCCAATGGTCACTGTGAAAATCATCAGGCCAATATAAAACAACAAGCCCAATCTTGGATATGCGGATGGTCAAATGACTATATGACTATATAGCAAGAATTGGCAAAACCTCACGATCGGGTATCAAGAATCATCGGCAACCAAACCTACCCCTCTGAAAACTGCCATTCACCCCCATTTCTTGTGGCATATTAAGAAAAATATAGAAACATGAACCCTCAAACAAACCAGTATTCCATCAGTTAAGTCCCAAATAATTAGACTTCTTTTTCACTTAAGTCAGCTTTAAGTCCGAATTTTACAAATATGTGGGCAATTGCTCCCCCTTCCCAAAATACCAAAAATGTCTACCCCATCTGTGGTGTTTGTGCTGGAACGTGCTTGGCCATCCTTCTGTCAATTCCTTTAAGTTTCAGTCTTGCGACCATACTCGCCCCGGAACCAAAAGACTTTGATTTCTCGTAAGGTGCTGAAAAAGACATGCAAGTAACGACCTCCAATCTCTAGCTGGCATGGTTTATGATCGTCTTCGATCCCCTAACTTTCATTCTTGATCAATGAAAACATCCTTGGCAAATGCTTTCGCAGTAGTCTGTCTTTAACAACCCTAGAATTTCAGCTCTGACAGTTTAATACGAATGCACCCAACTATCCCTATCAATCCATACCTCAGCTGTAGAAACCAACAAAATAGAACTGAGGTCCTATCTGATTATTCCATGCCAATGTATTCAAAGCACACGCTTGCTTGAAACAGTCTAATTTCCTCACGTTAAACGTCCCAAATACAGCACCACACAGTCAAGTGCAGATGTCAAGGCTGAGCCAGATGCACATCCAGAGGGCAGACCGGTCATCCTCAACAGAATTCCGCTATTGGAGCTGGAATTGCCGCGGCTGCTGGCACCAGACTTGCCCTCCAATTGATACTCAAGTATTCAAATTCCGGGAAAATTACTCAGCGTGTTTTTGGCAATCCCCAAACGTTGTTTTTCAAAGCTGGAAAGCTGGAAATTCCAGGGAAAACATCATCCAAGTATCATCCTGGTTTCATATTCGGCATCTCTGGGGAAATGCTGAAGCATTTTTGTTTTCGCGTTGTCTGATCCTAAATCAACAGCGCAACAGCATTCGATAAGCATTTTGCTGAAGAGCAACAGCAACAGAAAAGACATAAATGAACCATGTTCAACAACAGAAAAGTCATAAATGAACCATTTTCAACAACAGAAAAGTCATAAATGAACCATTTTGAACAACAGAAAAATCATAAATGAACCATTTTGAACAACAGAAAAATCATAAATGAACCATTCTGAACAACAGAAAAATCATAAATGGACCATTTTGATCCATTTTGAAGCAAAAAAATGGATGTAGCAAATCGATCTTCTGGGCTCATTCTGACATGCCAGTGGCATAAGGTGATCAACAATTCCTGGCTCCCAAAACATCAACATGAACTGTTCTACCCTGAACATCCCTGAACAAATATGTGATCTCAACTGATGTCATCCATTTCAGCTATGCCATGCTATTTCAGCCTTGTTTAACGGATTCATTTTGGGGCCCAAAAATGCAGCAGCGACTTCCTCGCAACTGTCACTACTCGCTCTTTTCATCCATAACTTGGCATGACATCATGCCTGAAATCAGCCCGTTTGGGCGATGGTTTTTTTCCGGCCCAGAAATCTGGGCTCACTTTGGCTTGGAGCCACACCTGGTGCGAAAATCATCTGAAAATCATCCAGAATTGAGGTTCCATGTTGAATTTAGGGCCTTCAAATGCGTGAAAAATCATATAGTTAAACTTAAGCGGATTTCCAAGGGGGGTCCTGAAGGTTTCCAGTGACCTCTGTGCTAACCAATCGTTCAACCATTCACCAGCCCCTTTTCTAAAATGATGATTATTATATGTATATATATATACCCTCTGGTTATTTAACATAGCCATGCAATAGATGGCCCATTTATAGCTGGTTTACCTATTAAAAATGGTGGATCTTTCCATGGCAAACTGTTAGTCATAACCAGATGGTATCACTATATGTGTTCAGGAAGATTTGATCCTGTGAAATTCTGTTGGGTAAGGCTGGCACCTCTGGACACATAGAAGGCACCTTCAACCCCCGTCAAAGTCAAAGTCAGAGAACAGATAGAATGAAGCAAACAACAAGGAAAACAACCTTACTTTCCATTCAATCTCAATAATATACTAATCCCATTAAACTCCCATTAAACTTCTATTAAACTTCCATTGAAAACCTATTGAGATTCCATTAAACACCTGATCGCATCCCAACAAGGATTCCTTCTGCTCTCCGCTTTCATCCTGAAATCTGATTCCCACCCAAGTGGTAAAAAGACTGCTCAGTTGGTGGCTACTCCAGTTGAACGGAACTAGCAATGGGGATCGAAGCAAGAAAATTTGAGTTTCATCCTGCAACAGTGGATGTTTTGTTCAAAAACCGATTGGAATATCAACACCAGAATATCCAGATTGTTAAACCCTGTTCCAACGATAGATTTTTTTTAGAAATCAGCCACATATATACTGTGATGGCTCCACAGTGCTCCCAACACCCCAGATGCAAGGGTGGCAAACTGGGTAACTCAAGATGTAAAATGACCAATATACCCAGATCATGGCTATGGTTCACCTACAATAGGTTTTTTCTATGACAAGTTTGGCTTCAGATGTTTTTTCTCACACTGGGGGCGATCCCATACTATATAAAACATCAATGCAAACGTGAAAGATATTTGGAGCCAGCACAAAAGGGTCACTGTCACCAACCTTGCTGGTTTTCCTCCAGTCATCTCCAGATAATTATATATGTTTCTTTAAGAAAAATAGGGTTAGAATCAATAATGTCAATATGACACCCAGATCCATCGATCCATCAGGAGTAGAATGGATTGGTTCAGCATCTTTGGAACTCCATGGTGAAAAAACTAGCTTCGTCTGAAAAACAGGGGTAGATCATCCTGGATTCTGTGGTTGTCTCTGGTTCCTATGGCCTTTTTTAAAGGTGGAAATCGGGCACAACAATCCACGTGTGCCGTTGACTACCCTTGAAATCATGGAGATGGATGGATATGGATCAAAACTGGGTACCTCAAATTTTGGAGGGTTGATACAAAAAATGACAAGGTATGTGCCATCACATGGAAATTCACCAATCTGAAACTAGGCCAACCATGGGGAAGATTCCCCTTACAAAAAATCCACCAAAGTAAATGAAAAATCTGCCATTTTCAGGGTCCGGAGTTTCCAAATGATCTTTGAGAAACCCTGCTCAGTTGGCATTCGCTTCTAGTGACAAGTCAATGGGAATTCCCAGTTCATGGATTATGATCATCCCCAATAATTACATTACGATGACCCCCATACAGTCACTAAACATCAAAAAACGCACATGAATCCTGTATTCATCAATGATCTCACCATGGTTTTCATGGCAATTTGAAAGACCCCACGGTGACACCCCCATGACCCCGGTCTAAAAATCATCCCCATCTCCAGGGTCCATGGCGTCCACCAAGTCGCATATCCGGGATGTTCTCATGGCAGAACATCTCATGATCGTCCTCGGCAACGCAAGAAACGCTAGAAGCGCTGTGTCATGCCATGGTCAATTTATGGTCCCGTTTCATGGCAATCCTTACAGATAATCTAAAATAAATCGGTATGTAAATCCGGAAGTGAAAATGAATTGATGGATTGATGACCATCCCCGAAGTTATGGAAATATAAACCCTGTAACTTGACCATGTGCGCATTCGGCAGACTGGAAACTCTGGGAAAACCCTAAATCCACTGGTGAATCAGCATATTCCCCCAATGAAAATTCACTGGGGTATCCCCCATGTTCACACCCATCAAGAACAAGTGATCAAAACCATCCCCACAGTGGGATCGAGCCAAAGTCGTCGTGGCCGTTTTTTCTTGGTAACATACACTTTTCAGGTCTCTGCTGACTGGAGTCATACCCCAAATATCATACGAAGTTTACAGTGATCTTGGGTCCAATTATACAAGCATCAGCAAAGCCAGCCGGTTGAAATGCATTGTTTCTACATCCTGCGCAAATCAAAATACATATTATGTATATATATATACTGTGTATATATATATATATATACACACATAATATGCACAATGCACATATTGCTCAAACATTATAACTTTGGCCACGTTCACGAACAAACCATCCAATCCTTGGAGCGAAAGCCTTTTTGGGGGTTCAACCGTTCAACCCCAGTCCCTTTCTGAATTCCTCGGACATCTACACACCTTTAAGATTCAGAGAACCCTCGAAGTGCCATCTCCAACTCACCATCCAATCATCCTAAATCAGTTTCCAAGGTCCAAGATGGTCCAAGATTTTTCGAGGATTCCATGTCAATTTTCAGGTCTGGATTTTGTTCAGTGGGTTTGATGGAGCCTTTGAAGCCAAGCCAAGCTGCGCAGTAGCCAAAGTATTTGCAGGCGAGGCGAAAGTCTTCTGCATAGACCTACGCGTGGTCAGCCGGCTGTCAAGGTGGGTCCACCCAAACAATACGAACCAGCATTGGAAACGCTCCCGTTCATGTTTCCACCTTTTGGTTGCCATATTCATTGGACCCTGGTGGTTCCATCTTCACCCTGGTGAATTGATTGCTATAGGGGATAAAATTATACTACCTGGTTGGGAATTATGATGGGCCCCATAGGATTGGGAAACCTATCAACCAACTGGTATAATAAGATGCGAAAACGAGGTATTTTTCATGGCGATTTACTCGCCACTGTCCTACGAAATGAAAAGGAACGAGAGATTGTGCTGTATTTTCGGTCACACCATGACACACCCAAATATCATATACTTGGCTACATTTATAATACATTTACATATATAATATGTATGCGTATATGTATATGTATAATTGTATAATTGTATAATTGTATAATTGTATAATTGTATATGTATATGTGTATGTGTATATGTATATGTGTATATATATATATGTGTGTCTATGTGTGCGTTGTCCAATTGCAAAAAGTCATTTTGGAATTGCATTATATAAATTCTATTATAAAATATCATTGTAAAACTCCATGATCAGATTTCAAAAAAAAATGACTTGGCTTTTTCAAGACATCCTGTGTTATCTCCACACCTTGCGAATGAGGCCTTTGGTCTCCTCGTTCAGGGAATACGCGGAGATCTCGTTGCACCACAAGTTATGCATCGAGGCCTCCATTCCTTGATATCAGCCCCATGGCCCAAAATGGAGGGTTCCTAAGTCATGGGGGTTACCCCCATCCAAGTCATGGATGACCATGACTTAGTATTGAAACCCTATCCCCCATCTTAGAAAACCCCCATATGTGTGTGTGTGTATGTATATATATATATATACATGACTTAGTGAAACCCATGGTTTTGGGGGTCCCGAATTTTAGAAAACCATGTATGTAAAATATATATATATGTATATATATATTATATATATGTAGATGTGTTCATGATGGCTAACATTAAAAGATGGTATGGGATGGCGGTATGATTTCTTGGGAAAGATATTAATGATGTTTGGAGGTGGCTGGCAAAAAAACATCATTTGTGGGTTGTGTTTTAGTGATGGTCACTAGATGTGTGTTTATCATAATCATCCTGAAGTAGTGAACAATTATATGGATTTTTAAAGCACATCATATACCCTTTGTTTGAGAATTTGTTGAACTTTCCATAGTCTATGCTCTTCAGGACGACTACAGATACGAAGTGCGAAAATTATCCGATGTTTAGCTAGGTAGATGATTTTGTCACTGTGTATTTCTGATAAAGATTGGCAAACTGTGAAGCTACCAGGTGCCAGGAAGTGAGAAAAAATAATCCTCTCTTAACCAATGGGGGCATTGTGAAAATATCACCAAAGCAGATTGGTGCAAAAGAAACAATGGCCATTGGTAGAAGACTTCAAAAATGGTGATATCACAATGTATTCAGCAAGATGCTGTAACATGTCTAGCCAATACTAGATGCAGAATCGCTGGTATTGACAATGTCATGATCATACTCTAGCCCTAGTACTGATGCAAATCACAACCCTGACTACAACACTGGTAACATGATGAATTGTGCAATCTGATGAACACCTACACATACTTGGAGATGTGCTGACCCCAGCCACATGATGGTATGCATTCCTTCCAGTGGTGGAGCAAAAAAAAACTGGTTGCTGGTCTCCCCTTCCAGTTTGCGTTGTTTCTATGCCCTTCGTTCACATAATGTTAACCCATCTCATCTCAAACGATTGCTGGTTTATTGTTAGATAAATCCCCTGATTGTGGCAATCCATAGGTTACCCTCTGGTAAACGAACTAACATAACTATGGAAAATCACCATGCATTTTTAATGGGTAGTCATCAACTATTTCTATGACCATTTTCAATAGCTAACTGTTAGTCATTACCAGAGGCTAATGCACACTTGCAATGCATCGCTGGCTGGGAACCGCTTTTGGGTGACCAAGAAATTGTTCAAACCCAGGGTACCCGAGATGCTGGGCGACTGAAAACTCTACGCTGTGATTCTTCACCATGAAATTTGAGTACCCTCTGGTAATTTAACATAGCTATTGAAAATCACCATGTTTAATAGGTAAAAAATAATCTATAAATGCGGGCAATCTTCAATAGCTATGTCAGCTATGTTGAATTACCAGAGGCTAGCCAATATTGAACCAAATCGGCGTGCCTGAAATCGTCGTTATTCTTCGCCGAGAGACGAGGCGACGCATGGTGCTTCTCCATGAACTGGTTGAAGCTGTCCTTGGATCCGGTCCAGGATCGTTGGAATCAAAAAACTGGATATCCATGGATAGCGGTGGAATCTTAATGAATTTTGCGGGATATATATATATATATATTACATGTGTGTATATATATATTAGTATATGTATATATATATACTAATATATATATACACATTGAGTATATATATTACATAGTCCCATTCATAAGGTTGGAGCCAAGAATGTGAAGCTACCGCTGTGCCAGCAGTGCATGCTGATATCGTAGAATAAAATCAACAAACATGGACTCTCTATATGAGGCTGTGCAAGAATGGTACAATTCGGCTCGGATTTGGGCTTTTCCCAGAATCAATTTTCAGACACTGGCGATAGAACATGATAGAACTGTGAAAGTTGCAGGCTGTATCCAGGCTGTGTTTGTGTCGGCTTCCCAATCCGGGCCGCTGCTGCCGCCACGTCACAGGGATCTTTCTCTCATCGATGGGTTCCACCGTCATGCCGCTCCCCGCATCGAAAAACTCTGAGGAGGGCAAAAGGTGACAATTTGTCCTGCGGAAACTCAGCACTTTGGTCAGGGTCTCCGTTTGGGGTCCTTGAAATTGGCAATTTACTCCAGCAATCTAATGCAATCTATGGGGATTTTAAGACCAAAGATTTGGCCTGATGAGTTCACTCGTATGTGGATTTATCCACGTTCAAAGCCTGATGGAACATCTGAAAATGCTTGAAGATCAAAAAAAAGAATTATCCAGTTCTCTGAAACATAGAAGAGTCCCACCATTCCTTTTTCCCTGGAGTTTTGAGGACGGAAGCCTGACCAGCCGGGTCGGTTCTGGGTCGGTCCTGAACCGATCGCCGGCCAAGTATTTCTTCAACCTCAGAGATGGATTCGATTGCATACCCGCAACAATGTCATCAAGCATGGCTAGATGAGAAATCCCACATAACCTCTGGTAAACTAACATAACTATGGAAAAACACCATTTTTAGTGGGTAGTCATCAACTATTTCTATGCCATTTTCTATGTCGCAAACTGTTTTTCGTCATTACCAGGCCGGGTAACCACGCCATGTTTGATGATACCGGAGGGAAGATCCCAGTCTGCCATTTTTCCATCAATGGCTGCTATTGTCCCCAGTGCTTTCGATGATGTTTCCATATGTATATATATATATATATAATATTATTGTATCTATATAATTATATATATGGCACCATATATATATATATATGCCCATTTAGGTTAGGAATTTCCCAGCCACGTTTGATTTTCCGAAGGTAGAAAAAAAAACGGTGGCCGCGTTTTCGAGTTGCTCTGTTTGGAGGTAGGCATTCACATCGCAGTTCTTGTAGAACTGCTGGTACTGGTCCTCAGCTGAGGCACCAACAAACTCGCAAATTTGCGGGTGGAATGTCCCCCAGAAAAGATGTTGATTGGAGCTTTTTAGCTTTCCAGAGTTGGTACTTCGAAAAATCTGGTGAAAGACCCAGGAATGCGTCAGCCCACACAGATTGTGCACATCAGATGCAAATGTTCCAAACAGCTGCCAAAATGCTCACTTATTCCTATTGAAAAAGTGAAATTGAAGACAGCAATTATATACTAGGTTCTAAGTTTCCCAGAATTGTTTTAAGGGAAAACCTACAGGAAAGCCCCATATTTGGGGTTAGAAACCTTGTTTTCCTGCAAATGTTCCCTTAAATCAATCCATTCTAAGTTCATAAGTGAGGTTATAGCCCCTCTTTTTTTGGTCGTAACATATTAGAGTCACCTAAAATGTTGGAGAACGGTTGGTGCATGGTTTCCCCAAGCCCATCCATAGCCAATAGGGGTTACGGCCACTTTGATGACCCAGTTGATAGAAGGACACGGGCCAAAATTCTGGTGGCCCTTGTAACCCTGGTACCTTCATGCACCAAAATAGCTGGCGACGGTACAGTCATTTTCATCTGCCATTCTGACCTCAAGAGGTATTGGCTCATCCCCTTTTTGATGTGCCATGGGAATCCTGATAATGGGTATGTCATTGTTTTTCATGGATTCATGACCATCCCCAAAAAAACTTGCCAGTCTGCCAAAGTGTTTCTTACATGGCACACGTAGCGGTAACCGCAGTATCTGCTGGCGTTTTTTTTCATCCTTTTCCCCAAATATCAATGGATTGGTTTTGTTGGGAAAATCTACAGGAAACCATGGTTTTTACCATCAAATGTAGGGGTTTCCGGTAAATTTTCCCATCATCCAACTCTATGGAAATATCAAATACCATCCCAGAAACCCTGTTTCAGTATTGGATCTCTCCATTTTGTGGCATGTTCAATATGAGGCGCATTGGATTAATCTATCTTATCCCAATGGTCAATCATCCCGATTCCTCAATGACTCAAATGGGATTCCTATGGACTAATCTATCAATCCCCAATCAATATCGTCCTTTTAGACTTTATGATTCAATTAATTTATTGGTTGTTGAATGGAGGGAAGCCTCTACTGTATTAGCCAACCAGGGGAAATTTGGGACATCTATTGATCCCCAATCAGTTTCGGAAGATGGGAAAACCAATCATGATGCTCAGTCATATTAACCCACAGTATTCGCCAATTATAGATGGAATTAGTCTCCCCATCCCCCCAATCATATCGGCACCAAAATTCCACCCCAACTTTGACCGTTCCAAGCAACCGCTTCCCGTTCCATGTGCCCTGGCACGTTCCGAGACGGTGAAAGGTGCACGTGACGTAGGATTTCTAATGTGGAACCAAAATGGGGATTTAACCATCAGAAATAGGGATTTGTATTTACATATATATATACACATATTATATCATATTATCCAATATTATACACGTATACTTGATCTAATAAAGTGAATAATGAAGATGGGTCTGTCTGAAATAGGGTCCCCCAACTTATGCCAGCCATTCAATGGGGCAAATGATGAAAAAAACCAGTGATACGGCGCCAAAAAATCTGAAAAAGCTACGGCTAAGACTCCTATTAACACAAACAAAAACATATAATACATTAATAGTTATGATACAATACATATAATAGGTTAACCATACAATAGGCATAGATATAAAGTTTGACCTATGTTAGCACAAACAAACGTTCCCAACATGTTCCAACACGAGTTTTGCTTTACAAGGTTGCCCTTGATGGAACTGGCATGATCCCCTGACATCCTATGTTCCACCATCCCCATGGCACAGCCCCAGTTGCCAGCAGAGAGTGATAGCCGTGACATAGCGAAATGAAGGATACCCTGAAAAAACTGCGAATCATGTCTTGCTCCAAAAAATCATCAAGTATCATTTCATGGCCACTTTTTTTTTCAGCCCCACTGGACCCGTTTCGTCACATCATCCGATCACCATTATCACCACTCCGGGCAAAGCCGGCCCCGCCTTCGCGCTGCGAAATATCTTTGCGAAAGGTCTTGGTGAAGACCGAATCGATGCCGCCAACCTGCCTGAAGCAAGAGGTTCGTTGCGAGAACTTAGGGTGTCACAAAAAATGGGGAAAGGATGAAAAACACCCGGCAGCTCAACAAAAAAATCATGTCTCAAAACAGATATATGCCCAACATCTGAGGAAAATTCAAAACGTGAAAGTGAAACTGGCCAAAATTCTGTGGTGTTTTAAACCGAATTGTTGGACAAACACACACAGCTGGACATCACCTTCATCCATAGGGATAGCATTAGTTCACCGACCATGAAAAACGTCTGAAGACTACTATCGTGACTACCCAAAATCTCAAGGCGAAATTCGTAACTTTTCCTTGTTGAAGTTGACAATCCACAAAAAACTGGGGAAATATAAGAGGCCGGTTTGGCTTTTGTTATTGATCATATTTTGCGGGTTCTTGGGACACCCCTTCTTGGGGTGTCATGTTTGGACAAATCCGAACCAACACCCACTGTGAGCAAACCGCTCCTGCCCCGGCCAATGGTCCAAAACCATGATAACGTATGGCTCTGTTGTGGGACTGTTCGTGTATACACAAGAAGCCCCAAAAGATAGAAATGCTTTTCTAGGATGTTCATGGTTATCTTTACCTCATGGTAGGTTTCAAAGTGTTCTTTCTATTTTGGGGTTCCTATCTATCTATCTATCTATCTGTCTGTCTGTCTGCCTGCCTGCCTGGCTGTCTGGCTGTCTGTCTGTCTGTCTGTCTGTTCTGTCTTTATGTCTATCTATCTATCTATCTACCTACCTATATATCTGTCCAGAAAGAGAGATAGTGTGTGTGTGTGCGTGTATGTATATGTATATATATACACACACATGTATGTATATATATATATATGTACACACATTGTATGTATGTATATATATATTTATTTATCTATTCATTTGTTTATTTATATATATATTGTATAAATATATATATATTCATATATATATATATTGTGTATATATATAGTGTATATATATAGTGTATATATATAGTGTATATATATAGTGTATATATATATATAGTGTATATATATATAGTGTATATATATATATGTATATATATAGTGTATATATATATTGTGTGTGTGCATGTTTATGTATATATATATACATGTGTATCATATTAGCAAAAGGGTAAACCTGGTGACAAAGTCGAGTAAACTTTCATGACTGGGTATGGTTTGCATATCAACCGAGTATACATGCCTGAATATGGTGTGGTTTGTCATTGGGGTCATACTGGATTAACCCTACAAAACAATGAAAAATAGGTATGCAATAGTGGCTTCCCACATTACCAAGAATGGGTTTACCGGGCTTACCAAGTTGCCATATATGTAATACTGTATCACATGTCATAATCGTTCATAATGTTTCATATATACGTTGCGTGTGACAAAACAGAAGACATCTGGGGTACGTTAGAGTCTACAATCACCTGGAAATGATGAAATTCAGTTCCCATCATCGTAGGTCGAGGACTCACGGGAGCTCGAAAATTCCCAAGAAATGTGAACTCGAAAATCCCAGTCATGGACTGTCTCAGTATCTATGCAAACCAAAATGTGAGGAATTTTCAGGAATTTCAGGACCCTAAAATGGAGCTACGTAAACGTACCATGTTTCTGGCCATATTTTAAGCCTCAATCTTCCCATAGCCCCTGAATCATAGGCCCGCAATATCTTTTGGTGCCTCCAATTCATCGGTTCCTGAAATGGAGGTTTCCGTTTGGTCATGGGGGTACCCCTAGTTATCATCCATTTTAATAGGATTTTCCGTGAAATAAAAATGGTATCATTATGGGATTTAGTGGGATTTAATAACAGAATGGGATGAAATTGGATTTAATGGGATTTAATGATGTTCCCATTTAAATAACCATCCAGCTATTGGGATACTGCAGATACCTCCTTTTATGGAAACCGCCAAATGGCCGAAGGGAACTTTTTTTTTTACGCAACGTTTCTTTGCTCTACGGCGCAGGAGGGGTGTCTACGGTGTCCGAGCAGCATCCGAAACTCGTTGGCCATGCGGTCGTAGGGGTCCTGGCCAGCATCCAGCAATCGTTGGTCAGGTGTGGATGGACAATCCTGGAGATTGACTATGAACATTAGTATATCTATAGTCATAAAAATAGATGAAATATTATATCATTATTATTACTATAGAATATAAAGTTATATAAAATTATATAAAATTATATAAAATTATATAAAATTATATAAAATTATATGTATATAGTCATAACACCATTGATACAAGTATTATACAATATAAATATAGTGTATATAACGTGTATAGATGTAATGTGTACAAGTTTATATTGAATATTATGAACATTATCTAAATATAGTGTACATTACTTGTATAGATATAGATCGACAGTCTCGGTTTCCTGGGTTCCTGAAGTTTCTTTTGGCGGGAAAACACCTCAATACACATCGCCAGGTTTCGTCATGTTCTCCGGTTTTAGGCAATGAACATGGGGAACATTATAAGTATGGTAAGTGAAGTTATATATGTTGATATATTATATATGTTGATATATTATATATGTTGATATATTATGTGATGTATCATTGCAATTTGATGTGTATATATATATATATCAAAGTTATATATCAATGGCATACTATGATGGGTGTGAATGTGAAACAATGTCATACAATGATTGCAATGCCCATCGTATATAAGTACCCATAAAAGTCAACCAAACTCATATGATGGGTATCAAACTTGTATATCATGAGAATTCATGACACATCCTCAATCAATGGTAAATCAGCAAGCGTGTGTAATTTGTCCGAAAATTGGGAAAAAACACTAAAATCCACAGCTCAATGACACGTTTCCTTGTTAAAATAAGCATCGAAGGTAATTCAGACTTCAAGTACCAGACCCATATCCCAGGGCGGCGACCAAGTCATTCTTAGTAGACCACAGACCATAATATGTGGAAGATCATCGATGATACATATGTCTCCATCCATTTTTTGGAGCATTTATTTCGGTGAATTTGCCAATGAACAGAACCTCCATGGCTAGGCCACAGAGATTTCCCAGCCGTGTTTGATGACACCGGAGGGTACCTGTACCATCAATTTTTAGGCCAAAGTGTTTTGAACCATTCCCAAATAATTAAAAAAACGGATCGGGAGGAATAGTTTCCAAAAATGACAGAAAGTCAACCCCATCTGGTTGTATCTTGGAACTTATGAAGCATAGCCACTGGATTGGCACAATCTCGCGTTGTCTGCGCGCTGCAGCAAAAAGAAACGGACTGGGACCTTGGTTGAAAATGGTTGAACATGGACCATCTGAAATATCTTGTCACTAATCTATATAATTCCTCATCAAAACGAGGTTTGGGTCTCAGGTTCAGAAGTCCACGTCCAGCAACATTTCGTGGGTTAAATCCCGGGCTTGTGAACCCCATCCTGATATGAAACACTCCCATTCTATGGTCCAAAAGAAGTTCAAATCCCCTACTTTTTACTATGGTTTCTGGGAGTGCTTAATATGACAGGGAAGGGATTATCCATCATTCTAGTGACTACATCCTATTGTATCCCATTAGATCCCCATATTGTTGGCTGAATGATTTTGCCACCATATGCCTGTTACATTCCCATTATACTCCCGTTCTTTCCAGTTCTTTCCTGTTTTTGCCACCATGAACCCCTTCCTAAGCCATCCATACTGCCGCTGCACCCGCGGCCCCGTTTTGGCCCCGGTCCCGCAGCATGGCGAAAAGACTTCGATTCGCCAGCAAGGAACGCTGTAACTCGCGGGGCCAGTACTTGCTCGGAGTGTAAAACCTCGGTCCCGTCAGAGCGTCATCGGGACCCGTCATCAATTTCTGTATGTAAAATGTCATGTAAAGAATATGACCCTCCAGTAAATTAACATAGACCCTGAAAACAACAATTTTCTAGTGGAAACTCATCTTCCAACCCCTATCTGCTAGGGTCTATGTTAATTTACTGGAAGGTACATGATATCAAATAATATATTGTAATATTATATCATATTGTATTATAGTTTGTAATATTCAATAATATTCTACAATAACATAAAACAATATAATTATAGTCATGTCATATGTAATATTCTACGCTGTCATTTAATAGTATATAATCATACCATATTATTTAACCATACGATATTGATATCATAAAATAGTAATAGTAAATATTAATATGTACTATTGCTTTGAGAAAAATAAAGAATATGTTCATATCATTTCATATTAAATAATATTATGTTGTATAAAAATATTATATGATGCAGTACTTTTCATATTGAATAATGTTATATAATACTAGATGCAAGTGTATTTAATATTATATGATAGTATATGATATTGTATGATATCATATATATATACATATAAATATACACTATGTGTATATACATATTATGTATGTATGTATGTATGTATGTATGTATGTATGCATGCATGCATGTATGTATGTATGTGTGTGTGTCTGTCTGTCTGTCTGTCTGTATGTATGTATGTATGTATGTGTGTATGTGTGTATGTGTGTATGTGTGTATGTGTGTATGTGTGTATGTGTGTATGTGTGTGTGTATGTGTGTGTGTGTATGTGTGTATGTACATATATATATATATATACACTTAATATAATTGAATACGTCTATTATACATAGTGTATATATATAGATATACACACTATGTATGTACTGTGTATGTAATACATATGTACATGTATGGGGTTGTCTGAAAACATGATTTATCACAATTTTCCCCATTCACATGGCCATAAATTGGGGCCATCCCACATTTTCAGACGCATGCCTATATCTACGGCACCTGAATAATCCGGCAAAAAAATAAAGTGTTGACCAACACTGCCAAAGTTTTACTTCTGGGATCTAAGTTTCAGCGAAATCGGCCAGCTAGAAACGGAAACTGCTTACTCAAATGATATCAATACCACTGTACAGCAAAAGCATAGTTGCTGTGATCACTACGAAAAAAGAGTGAACATGTTGCCGGTTGAAAAAAACACCATGTGTGATGCTGTTTCGGCTGTGCCCCCCTGTTTTGGCACTTTGCTATACTTTGATATACTGTGATTTCCTTTGATCATATGCATCCAGTATTTTGGGTCTTTTTTTGCATGGTCAACCCAAAAATCAGTGGCCATTGAACACACTTCCAACTCACAGCTTTTGATCATCCTAAAAATCTCTAGAAAAAAGCCAGCCTTCGCAAAAAATATGGCCCAACAAAACGCCCAATTTTTCATCCACATCCAAATGGCCCATATTTTTCATCCACATCCAAAATCATCCACATCGCAAATGTTGAAATCTCCCATTCGAACTAAAGCGGATATCGACATTTGGAGGATATCGACCAGCCACATTTGAACTAATATTGACTTGTTGACCCATGAGCCACATGGTATCCTATGGAGTACCATCTAGGACGCTAGGACCCACATCAAAAGCCTTCGGTTTCTCCAAAAATGTGGACGTTTTATACCCTGAAATGGCCAGTTTCATAGGGAAAATGGATGTTTTTGACATTGGTCAACCATCCAAAAAAGGGGTAGCCAGATGGGATAGCTAGTTACCTAGTTCAATTTTCAGACACATCCACATATCTAAAGAATTCTAAAGATATCTAAACATAGACATCAAATATTAGCGCTGAGCAGCAGATTGCAGCCCGTGACATCCGACAACTGATCCAGTTCCGGGATCATTTCACCCCACTGCATCTGACCTGCGGCTGGATTTGTGACGCTGACTGCTAGCGATAAGGTCGGTTTCCCAAGTCAGAAAAAGGTAGCCCTAGTTCTCCAAGTCCTTAGATTCCTTAGATCAATTTATGATCTGGTTGGTGGTTTCAACCTACCCCTCTGAAAAACGATCGAGTGAAAGTCAGTTGGGATGATGACATTCCCAACTGAATGGAAAAATAAAAGCCATGTTCAAAACGACCAACCAGTGATGATCTACTATTGGAAAGCCATAGTTTTGGGCATAATTTTTAAGGGGATCCCCCAGTTTTAAAACCCATATATCTCCGGCTCTTGGAATCTATAGCTTTGCCTCCGCAAGATCAACCAGTCAGTCTCACCCAACTCGGCTTCTTCTTCAACCAAAAGGCACAAGCAATATCTGAATCTACCTGACTACATGTACGATGATTGGTGCAGCCTGCAATTTGGAAGGTTTCAGTCCTTCAATGTCTGCTTGTCCCAGCAACTTAGGATGCATCTCGGATGACAAAAATTGACAAAGCCTGACCATTGCCTTTCTTTTGTGTGTGTGTGTGTCTATTATATAGATTCCCAATTGGTTTCAGATGTTTTCAACATTGGATATCATTGGATAGTACTGCAAGTAGTACCCAAACAGCTCATTCAATATCGCCATATTGGGGGGAAGCCAGCATCCGCGGGGTGTGAGACTGCCGGGCTAGGCTCAGAATCTGTACCCTACCCAAGCACCAATATTCGTGGCCAGAAAGGGACAAGATCATGTTAAAATGACTCAGATATGTTTAGTAAATAAACCCATCAGCCCTGAAAATTGCTGAACATCCCAATCTTTGTCCGGGTACAATTCAGAAGATCTTCACAAAAATGGGCAAACATCTACAGCTACTCATTGATCTTTAGCAGTAACTAGGCGCGTTGGCTCCCCATTTAGAAGGCTCCAACAGCTCCCCCATCCATGACCAGACAAAGGAGTTTTCCTGCTGGAAGGTATTGATCTGGTGAGACGGAAACCCAACTATTGCGAGGAAAATCACCATCAAATCCCCAAAAACCACACGATATGTTCCTGAATAAATCCCCGAAAAGTGTACCACCAGGATCTGAATTCGAAGATTCCTCCAATTTTTTCAGGCGTAGATGTCCAAGGTCCGTTCGGCATCTTCGGGGGTTGCTACAACTCCCATATTTCCCCGGCGAAGTTTCGGATGAAAATTGGTCTGTGGCGCCTCCTTTGAGGGCGTCTATTTGCAACTTGCCGTCCTGGACCGGGAGAGACATGTGACTTTTGCCGAGTCGGAAAAGAACATCTAATTGGTGGTTTCAACCCCTCTGAAAAATATTAGTCAGATGGGATGATTATTCCCAATATATGGGAAAATAGAAAATGTTCCAAACCACCAACCAGTCGGTTTATCAATGTTTATCATGCTTTATCATGATTTCACGCGTTGATGTCAGATTTTCTCAAAATGATCAGCGCTTTGAACCATGGTGTATACAGAGCCACGAATCAGCTGAAATGACCAGGGCTCCTCCTTGATGGCACCTCGGAATCCGAGGCAACGGCGAAAAACTGTTGCCTTGGGATTTAAGCTTAGCACGTTCACAACGCAGAACGCAAAACGTACGTTCTGGAACGCGTGTTCCGAACGCATTGGTGTTTTTAGTGGTTTTATGGATCCCAGAAGCGTCCGAATCCTTTTTTTGCTCCCTGCAAAAAGGATCCACTCTAGCACATGGAGTTTCTCAAGAAGTTTTCAAGCAGTCCAGGAGCAAAACTTGCAGGCTTTAACCTGCACAATTCTTTTAAAACCAGGCAAAAAAAGGATCCGTCTTTGGCCTGCCGAGCGCTTTTTAAAGGCCCTAAAAAAAGGATCCGTGTTTGGCCTGCCCAGCGCTTTCTAAAGCCTCTAAAAAAAGGATTCCATCTTAGGCCTGCCCGACCTAAGGCTTTTTGTCCAAACGGTTCTTCTCAGCAACACAAAGCAACATCAAACCCTAGAAAAATCCTTTTAATATCTCATATATCCCCTTCCCACTAACTCTTATCCACTTATCCACTTAATTATCAATCCAAACATATCCCATCAAGGTCCAAGTCATGGCCCAGATCGCTGATCAGCCTTCTGGTGGCTGCATCTACCATTTTGAGCCCACAAGAGCTCCACATCCTTTTTTTAGTGGGGGAAAAAGGTTTCTCTGTTCAAACCCCGGAAATAAATTGACTTTATATATTGGAAAAAAGGATTCACTCAGAACGCGCGTTCTGGAACGCGAGTTTTTAAAACGCGCGTTCTGAACGCCCAAACGTACCGAACGAACATGCTAAGGATTTAAGAATATAGCTGGTGAGACATGGTGAGACATGGTGAGACAAAGAATATGTTTCATCGTGTTTCATCTGCAATCCTGTTTTATAAGTTTTGTTGCTTCGAAAAAAATAAGTGAAACTAGGTCTAGCTTCTGGTTACAGCATTGAGTCACATTTCGACTGTGTGCCATGCCATGCCATAGTAGCTGTACGTATTGCACGTAATTCTCCAACATGTCTCAACGCCAGTATCATATCTATTATGTATACCCAGCCTGACGCCTCTTCCACGTCTTCATATATTTTGGGCATGTTCATCTATCCCATTTATCCCGAAAATTGGGGAATCCATGCCCATCATGCGCGTGTATATATATATGAATATATATATATATATATATCAATTCCGATAGAAAAAAACACGGGTTGATGACCATCCCGGAACTGATGGGAATATAAACAATATTAAACTTGACATATAATATAAACCATATAACTTAACCATGGCACATATTCTAACCAAACGAATACATCCCATGATCTCCCATGACCTCCCATTCTATTCCATTAAAAAAACTCAGAACAAATAGTTGCAACAACCCTCAAGTAAACTACCATAGCAAAAATCACCATGAAAAAAATAGGTAAATCATCAATAGCCCAGTTTCCATAGCGACATAAAAAAAATCTATAGTTGGGTGAAGCCCTAATTCCCATTACACAGTTGAAGGAGGTTTTCCGCTTCGCAAACTGCAAGAAATTACCAGAGAGTAAGCATCAACTAAAAAAAGGTCAACTTAGCCATCATAAATCAGCTCTAAATCCCTATAGATCCATACGGATCATCATTGTTCTTAATAAAATCACATTTTTATTACCCTCCAGTAAATTAACATAGACCCTGGCAGATGGGGGTTGGAAGATTAGTTTCCACTAAAAATGTGTCATTTTCAGGGTCTATGTTTATTTACCATAGGGTAAATGTCTTTTCATCCAGATTGGGTCCCCAAAAAAGAAATATTTAGTACCCGTGCAGGGGACTCGGACCTGGCTACGGAAAGCCAAATGTTCCAACATCTCTAGCTTCTTTCTGCAGGATCGTCCTAGTTTGTAACTGATACCCCTGGTTAGTAAACCAACTCATTCACTGGATTGCAAGAATTTATAACATTTTATAACTAGCTGACCCCACTTACTAGCCAGTTCTTATTAATCATTCTCATTTACATCTTTGGTTGCTTGCATATCAAGTTTACACCATGGTGGGTAAGCCCACCTGATGGTTGGGATGGTGCTCACCAGCTTGTCCAAGCGGCCCTTCAAGCCGGATTCCTCCACAGTGTGGCCGAAAGTGCAAGGAATGTGAATAAACCTGGTGCACAGTGGGCTGGGAACAGCGGGAACAGCACATTCTTGGTGGACCCTACAAGATGGGTGCACACGTTTTGGTGCGTTTGTAACTCCAATAACTATGGATTATAGCGGAGATATATCGATATTTAACTTGTTTCACTATAGTCTGGTTGTCAGCTATGGTTAAGAAGGTTTATAACTATGGTTGATAGCTATGGTCCACTAACTAGACTATATTCAATGGGGTTTATAAACCAACTTATAAGTGGAGGGCAGCATCTTGTATAACCCAGCTACTAACCATTCGGGTGTTTCTCCAGTGGCAAGTTTGTCACCCTGCGGTAATCAAACCTGGCAATGGGAAATCCCCTAGAAATGGGGGTTTCCATAAATGGGTGGTACCCGAAAAATTATTGCTTATAATGGAAATCCTATGAAATCCTATTGTCTAAAATAGATGATTTAGGGATACCCATTTATGGAAACCCCCATATATAAATGGACATTTCAATGGAAAAATCATCTATAAATGGAGGATTTTCCATTGCCATGTTTACTGGAGGGTAGCTGGTAGTTGTGGATGTTCATAGCTCCATTTGTATCCATTGGTATATTGAATACGCGTAGCCGCGTATCGTACATTTGTGGCCCATTCCAACATTCCAATACTGACTCATTGCTTTCGAAAAACTTTGCAACCTTAAAAAACTCCCCATGTTAGATCCTCCAAAAGTGATGGATTTTGCCACAGGCTTATCATTGGGGTTCATGGATGTAAAAGAACGTACTTGAAGCCATGAACATGCAGAAGTCTGGTCGGTCCAGGAGAAAATTTGGACGAAAATGACGGTTTTGATCATCCAAAGACATACAGCAAATCTATCCGAACATAGGGTTTGCATGGGTCTGCTGTCCACAGTTCATCACAGTCCCTGAAATCAAGCCTGGGATTTAGCCAACATGATTGTGATGTCAACAGGGCATTTACAAAAATACAGACCTGTCTTGCAAATTTCCGTGCTCCTTGAGTTCCGAGCGGACCTACAAAACGGTTTGCCTTTTGGGGAAACTTTGAGTTTATCAATTTATCATTTTGTTCTCCACCAAATGACCCTGAAACTAGGTTTCCCTTTATGTACCCCAGAGACCCTGTTCTTTGGTCATCTACAGATGATGGGGCCCTTGGAAGAGGATGGTTCCATATGTTCCATTGCATTCCTGGCGACCACATGGCTGAGAAATCCCAAATATATACATGGTTTGTTTAATGAGAAAATGATGCATGTATCAACGGGTGGTTTTCCATTGCCCAGATTGGATGCGCAGAGGGTACCCAGCCGGGCAATCCATTTAGTTCGGAAATTTCCCTGCCGGCCATGTATGACTACCGGAGGGTAAACTGGCTCCCCCCATGTTCTGGTTCCACTGTGGCAACCAGAAGTTCCGTACCCAAGGCGCTGTAAGTGGGTGTTGTATCCATCCTGGCACGGCTCGCAGATGAAGGAAAGCTCAAACGAATTGCCTGGGTTGAACTCCCCGGGTTTACACGTCCAGAATAGTTCAAAGATGTTCGAAATTCATGTTCCTACAGTACTGTCTTGGGTTTGTAAAATCAGGTCGTTTCTCTTTCAAGTCTTGCTGCAGAAGTAAAAAGTCAGAACCGAAAGTGCAAAGCGATGCGAAACGCCTTTGCTTAACAAGATGTTTTAGCTCCAGACCCCAGCAACCCGGTACAACTTTGACAGAAAAAGTGTACCCAACCTGTTGGTGCAATATCTGAATCCTAACTGTCCTAATTTTTGCCAGTCTCAGCGATATCTCTGTGACTATGGTGGATGTCCAAGGCTGGGAAAATATGAAACAACATCCCTTCGTTATTTATCTGGGTCCATTGTAATAAATCACAGACCTGAAATTTGGGGCCATTTTGGATTAGTTGCCCCGAGCCGATATTCCAGTGAGGTCGCAGTGAGGTCGCAGTGAGCACGTTCTAATTTACTCTGATTTTTCCATCCCGTTAGAACATTAACAGCGAATATGAAATGTACCCATCCCCAGAAATGAATGGAATGGGTTTCCCCTTGCTCGATTTATCCCCATAAAATTTCCCCACACAGAATGTATATAGATCGATGTCGCCAAATGCCACGCCTGCCGCACCAAGTTATGAGTAAATTGCGTGTGAAAAAATTGTGTGTGTGCGTGTGAACAGATAGTGTTGGATAAATTGTGTGTGAGTAAGTCGTGTGTATGTGTGTGTAAGTTGTGTGTGAGTAAGTGTGAATATGTCGTCTATGAGTAACTCGTCGGTGGACAATTTGTGTAAACAAATTGTGTGTGTGAATAAGTTGTGTATGGACAAGTTGTATGTGGGCAAGTTGGCAAGTTGTGTGTGAGTAAATCATGTATGGGAAAGTTGTGTGTGGACAAGTTGTGTGTGTGAGTAAGTTATGTATGGATAAGTAAGCGGTGTGTGAGGAACTTGTGTTAGATAGGTTAAAAAGAGGCAGCAGGAGGAAGGAGAAAGGAGGCAACGAGGGAGTAACGAACCAAAAACAAGAACACCACACAAAGATGTAGGGAAAAACAAATTCCTATCTCTGTATCTGCACATATATCTAGACTCTGAAGCCTTTTCTCCAAGGAAGAAAGTGTTGGACTTTGTACACTTGTATATATATAAATATGTAACTCCAAGGACAAAGTCCTGGAATATATATATATATATGTAAAAATATAAATGTAAATATAAATATACATGTGCAACTCCAAGGACAAGGTCCTGGTCCAAATATACATATATATATATATATACAAAACTCCAAGAACAAGGTCCTGGACTATATATGTTTAAAAACAGATTTCAAGGACAAGGTCCTAGACGGTATGTGTATATATATATATATACCTCCAAGGACAAGGTCCTGGACTACATATGTTTATAAATACACCCCAAGGACAAAGTCCTGGCCTGTATATATATATAAATATGTATATATATATATATGTATAGATATATATATATATATTTGTTTTTAAACTCCGAGGACAAAGTCCTGGACTGTATGTATTTATGTAACTCCAAGGACAAAGTCCTGGCCTGTGTGTATATGTAAATATATATACATATATTTTTAACTCCAAGGACAAAGTCCTGGATTGTAAATATGAATATAACTCCAAGGACAAAGTCCTTGACTGTATGTATATATAAATAATATATATGTATATTCAAGGACAAAGTCCTGGCCTGTATGTATGTAGAGATATATATATATATAACTCCAAGGACAAAGTCCTGGACTGTATGTATATATGTAACTCCAAGGACAAAGTCCTGGTCTGTTTGTATGTTTTTATATTTGACTCCAAGGACAAAGTCCTGGTCTGTTTGTATATATGTATATATTTATTTAACTCCGAGGACAAAGTCCTGGCCTATGTGTATATCAAAATATCTTATATTTAACTCCAAGTACAATGCTCTGGACTTTATATATATATAACTCCAAGGACAAAGTCCTGGTCTGTATGTATACATATATATTTATTTATTTATCTCCAAGGACAAAGTCCTGGACTATATGTTTACATATATATATATATCAATCCAAGGACAAAGTCCTGGACTGTATGTATATATGTATATATATATATAACTCCAAGGACAAAGTCCTGGACTATATGTGCAAATGTACATATCTATATTTCATTCCAAGGACAAAGTCCTGAACTACATCTACCTGTAGATTTCCCAAGAGGCAAACTCCTGATATAAATTTGTCACTGAACACTAGTCCTGGAACAACGTCTGCGTATATATATATATATATGTATATGTATATGTAATACTCTACATAAATATATCGACACAGTTTTTTTAGGTATGTTCATGTTTTCTTGGATATTTTATATATTTCTTTACTCACATACACACATTTTTATAAATATATATATATATAGAAATATAAGTATATCTATGTATACCTTCATTTTTTACAACTATCTCTATATATTTGTATATAACTATATGCATATATTGCATATCATATATTCATGAAATTGTTTGTTTGTTTGTTTGTTTGTTTGTTTGTTTTTTTGTTTGTTTGTTTGTTTGTTCGTTTATATACTTAAGCTCATAACTACGTATGTGTTTTGATGCACATCAAGAGGATAATCTGTCAACTGTCCTGATTCGCTTTCGGCAGAAGATTTGACCTCAATCCTAAATCAAGTGCAATGACAACAAGAAAAAAGATAAAACATCATAGATAGACAACATCACCTTATCCAGATTGATTTTACCAGTGACACCAACTCGCACTGCAAAAAAAAATGATAAAAATGTTCTTGTAGCTCTTCATTCTTAAAAATGTTCCAAGTTAGATGTTCCAACGAGCAGGAAGTTGGGCAAGCAATGTGAAAAACACAGACTGGTTCTTCATGTCATGCTTTAAGAAAAATGCAAAACTGAAAGAACCCTACGTGTGACAAACGTGGCGTGACAAACATGAACAAAAAGCTGCCAGGCATAGTACTGGGAATTACCTGTTTTTGTTTCAGTTTCTGGCTATGCAAAACTAAGAACATTTTTCGTTAATAAACCATTGCCGTGCAAGAGAACTAGACAAAATTGTCTGAAATCCAAATCCCCTGTCACTGATCACGCGGAATGGCAACGCTGAATGAGCATTCCAACGCATCATGAATAGAAACTATGTCTTTTTCAAGAAAAGACTTATTCCTCTTCTATCCATGACATCAAGTCGCAAACAAACCTGCTCAACTGCTGAGTTTTGGACCCTTGTCACTGAGCAGACAGTTGAGCAATCAATGTGACAAACATTAACAAACCATCCCATTGTACATTTTTCGAAGGTTGCTTTTCATGTTTCAGGAGGAAAAAATGCCATTCCAAGATTTGCCACAGGTGCCTAATGTCCAGACCCTCTTCACTGATCAGCAGAAATGACAGCTGAACAGTCATTCCACTTGATCATCAATAGAAATTGCATGTTTTGGTTCCAAGAATGTACTTTAGATTCTACCTTGCAATAGCATGGTTTGGTCCTTTCATTAAATCATGGCATGAAAACATCTGTTCAAATGCCGAGTTCAGGAACCATGTCACTGAGCAGGCAGCTGAACCATGAATGTGACAATGAACAATTTCTACAATCCAAAATTGGAAATTCTTTATATTTCTCTCTTCCTGGCTGATGAAATTTAAATTTGAATATGACATCTTTGTTCAAAAGAAACATTGACTGCCGTGCCGAATAGTGAGAAGAGTTCTGGAAAACAGGTTTGAAAAATCATACATGTGCAATTTCTGATCACTTTTTTTGAAAAGATCTTGCGTTAGAAAGCACAAACACCTTCAAGAATTTAGATGATTAATGTTTTTGGGATAATCATGTGCAATATTTTCGATGCTAATTCCATGTTTTCCACGTTTTCTTTTTTTTTTTGATTTACGCACTGCCACCCTCCTCCATAGCAGCAGCTGTGCATTAACCCTGTTACCCAAGGTGACAAAGGTGGCAAAGCACAGCAAAGCACCCGGTAAATAAGCATCTTCAAAGCATAAGTGGTTTATTGATTTTTTATCAAATACAAACTTACACACATACACATACACACACACTTCTATGACCCGACAGCCAAGCCATACGTGATGTTTTTCTTCAGCAGAGCAGCCCAAAAAAAAACAATTTGAAGGCATCAAGAAATTTTGAAAACTTCTAAGACATATAAAATGTTGACAAACCACAGATGAAGAAGTGGCACAGCCGACGGGTTGCAAAGAATCCGGTCTTACTATGCCTGTGCCATGGATGGAAAAGTTGACGCCCTTAAATTAAAAATTCTTTGGGCTGAACTTTGCACCAAACAGAATTGGCAACAACTTGCTGCTTCAAAACTTATCATTGAACGATAAGCATGTTTGCCAAACAGGAAAGTCAGCACCGAACATTGTTCTTCTGACACAACTACTGAATACCATTCAAGGGAAAATTCCTTATCAGCAGAAACTACTTGAGACAGACTAACTCTTTGACCCCTTCGACCCCTTTAACCCGCTTAACCGTTTGTTAGGCCCTTTTGAACCCTTTGACCTCTTTCGACCCTTTTGCCCCTCGGTGAGACATCCTTTTCGAAAAAACAAAATGCAGCCCACGAACCCAAATGCTCACACGTATGTTAATGGCACAGATGTCAAAACACATGAATGTGCAATCACTGTGAACACTTTTCTGCAATAGTTTATTTGAACAGTCTTGTACATATTTCCCCTGTTACCAGTCTGCAGTGTGGAGTGTGGAGTGTAGCGTGTGGAGTGTAAAGTGTAGAGTGTGGAGTGTAAAGTGTGGAGTGTAAAGTGTAGAGTGTGGAGTGTGGGGTGGAAAGTGTAGAGTGTGGAGTGTGGAGTGTGGAGTGTAAAGTGAGGAGTGCGGAGTGTGGAGTGTAAAGTGTGGAG